TTATATGGAGGAGATAGACCAACTGAGCTTATGTCTGATTTCCACAGTAAATTAATTAAAAGAGATGATCAACTAATTGAATTCAAGACTCTTCTTGTACTTAATGAAATCATAAAGCTAAATCCCTTTGTATACAAGAAAGAGCATGGCATACGCAGAAAGAAAGAAGAAGTAAACTATATAAATTTTTTTTATGGTAGCAGGTTTAATCTAGACACAAGAGAATGCACACTGGAGATCGATGATGTAAAAAACTTGAAAAGCATAGCCAAATACACCTCAGAGAGCCTGAATAGACACAATCTCTCGTATGTTTCTGGGCTGGTGAGTTTATTGAATCTGGCTGCTCTAAAAGAGTTCATGCCCGTAGAAGAATACTACACACTAGACTATCTATACACAAACAAATACAAATACTCTGGCAAGACATTGGTAGACTACGGGCTGGACCTTATTCAAGAAAAGTACCACAAAATTAAAGAAATAAGAGATGCCTCCAATGACCATGATAAACTAAAGGAGATAGCTGATCAAATTAGCGGGCTGTTCGTCTCCGATGAAGAATTAAAAATAGTTCTTTCCATTGGCCAGAACATAAAACAAATTAGAAAAGAGAAGGAAATACACAGCTGCATGATCGATGCAATAGAGTACATGATGGATGATACCGATATCTTAGGTAAAAAAGACGAGCCAAAAACAGCGAAGATAGAGAGTGATTTGAGCAATTTTGATAAAGACTACATAAGCGGTGCCACAGGCTTGAATAAAACAGTAAGCGAAAGAAGAAGTAAGTTGACTAAAAAAAGACGAATGCTGGAAGAAGAAAAAATAGAGTGCGAAGAAAAGAGAATACAAAAGCTACAAAAGAAAACTAGCAGCACCTCGAATGTTTCAGACCAAAATGAAAGTCGCACTGTTGCGGATATAGAAAATGATATGGTGCTGTTGGACTGGGATTTAGAAAAAGAAGCCTTGCAGTACTCCAATGTCTGCAAGCTTCTAAGCAGATTAAGTCTTTTATCTGACATAAGCCCAATCCAAAAAGAATACATAGTTAAAAATATAGAAGAGTTTGTTCAAATGAGAGATGCAACAATGAGAGATGCGAAAATGAGTAAAGTGCAAGAGATAGAAGAAGG